TTTTTAAGGTCCACCCATGTTGTCACAAATGGTAGTATTTCATCCTTTCTTATGGCTGAGCAGTATTCATTGTACATATCTACCACATCTTCTTTATCCAATCATTTATCAAAAGATACTTTTGTTGTTTCCATGTCTTGGCCACCATGAATTAATGCTGCATTGAACAGAGAGGAGCATATATTTTGCAAGTAAATGTTTTCAAATTTTTCTGGTGGATACCCAGAAGAGGGGTGGTTGGCTCATATGGTAACTCTTTTCTTAATTTTTTAGGAACCTCTATATTGTTTTCCATAGTGGTATACCGCTTTATATTCTCAACAGGCAGTGAATGAGGGTTCCTTTTTCTCCACATACAAAAGGTATATGCACCACTATGTTCATTGCAGCATTTTTAATATAGCCAAGATATAAAATGAAATGGATAAAGAAGGTGTGTGTGTGTGTGTGTGTGTGTGTGTGTGTGTGTGTAAACTTCTTTGAATGAGCTTTCTAGTCCTTTCTCTTCTCCTTCTGGGACTTTAATCATATATATATTGGTTTTCTTCTTTTTTAATTAATTAATTTATTTTTTATTAATTTGTTTTGTTACAGATTTTTCTCATTTTTCCCCCATTGATACCCTCCTCCCTTCCCCCCCACCCCTTCCCCAGTTTTGTTGTCTATGTTCATTGGTCATGCATACATGCATATAAGTTCTGTGGTTTATCTCCCCCCCGAATCCTCCCTCCTCTGAGGCTTGTCAGTCTGTACCCTACCTCCATGTCTCTGGGTTAATTTTGTTCATCAGTTTGTTTAGTTCGTTATATTCCACAAATAAGAGAGATCATGTGATATTTCTCTTTCTCTGCTTGGCTTGTTTTGCTTAGCATAATACTTTCCAGGTCCTTCCATGCCATCTCAAAGGATAAGAGATCTTTCTTTCTTACAGCTGCATAGTATTCCATTGTGTGCAAGTACCACAGCTTTTTAATATACTCATCTATTGATGGACACTTGGGCTGTTTCCAGATTTTAGCTATTGTAAATACTGCTGCTATGAACATAGGGGTACATATATTCTTTCTGATTGGTGTTTCAGGCTTTTTAGGGTATATTCCTAGAAGTGGGATCACTGGGTCAAATGGCAGTTCAATTTTTAACTTTTTGAGGTAACACTATATTATTTTTTATAGTGGCTGCACCAGTCTGCATTCCCACCAGCAGCGTACTAGAGTCTCCTTTTCTCCACACCCTCGCCAACACTTGTTGTTTGATGATTTGTTGATGGCGGCCATTCTGACAGGTGTGAACTGATACCTCATTGTTGTTTTAATTTGCATTTCTCTGATGATTAGTGATGTTGAACATTCCTTCATATGTCTCTTGGCCATTTTTATATCCTTTTTGGAGAGGTGTCTATTTAGGTCCTGTGCCCATTTTTAAATTGGGTTCTTTGTCTTCCTTTTGTTGAGTTGTATGCGCACTCTATATATTTTGGAAATTAACCCCTTATCTGATGCATCATTGGCAATTATGGTCTCCTATACAGTGATAGCTTTCCATTTTGATAGTTGTTTCCTTTGCTATGCAGAAGCTTTTTGGTTTGATAGTCCCATGTGTTCCTTTTTTCCTTTGTTTCTCTTACCTTAGGTATTGTATCACTGAAAATTCTGCTGCGTATGATGTCCAAGATTTTGTTGCCTGCATTTTCTTCTAGAATTTTTATGGATTCATGAGTCACATTTAAGTCTTTTATCCATTTTGAGTTTATTCTTGAGTATGGTGTAAGCTGGTGTTCTAGCTTCATTTTTTTGCAAGTAGCTGTTCAATTTTTCCAACATGATTTATTGAAGAGACTGTCTTGACTCCACTGTATACTCTTGCCGTCTTTGTCAAATATTAATTGAGCATATTGTCTTGGGTCAATTTCTGGGTTCTCTGTTCTGTTCCTTTGATCTATGTGCCTGTTCTTGTGCCAGTACCAGGCTGTTTTGATTACAGTAGCTTTGTAGTATAACCTGAAATCTGGGAATGTGATCCCTCCTACTTTGTTCTTCTTTTTCAAGATTGCTATAGCTATTCAGGGACTTTTTTCATTCCATATAAACTTTTTGGAGTGTTTGTTCTAGTTCTGTGAAGTATGTCATTGGTATTTTGATGGAGATTGCATTGAACCTATAGATTGCTTTGGGTAGTATGGACATGTTAATGATGTTAATTCTTCCAATCCATGCATAAGGTATATGCTTCCACTTTTTATATCTTTCTCTATTTCTTTTATAAATGACCTGTAGTTTTCTGTGAAAGGTCCTTTATTTCTTTGGTTAAGTTTATTCCTAGACATCTTAATTTTTTTGCTGTGATGGTAAATTGGATTGATTTTTTAGTTTCTCTTTTTTGATTTCATCATTGGTGTATAAGAATGCCATTAATTTCTTGACGTTGTTTTGTATCCTGCTACTTTGCCAAATTCCTTTATTAAGTCTAGTAGATTTTTGATGGAGTCTTTAGGGTTTTTTATATTGGTTTTCTGGTGATATCTGACTTTCTTCATTTTTTTAAATATTTTTAATTTACCCTTTGACTAAATAATTGGCAATGAGCCATCTTCAAATCCACTGATATTTCCTTCTTCTTGTTCTAGTCTGATTCCCTTCCTAAACTACTTGGTATCATTGGGCCATGTTCAGATTTTGAGATGGAAGGAGTAGAAGTCAGCAAGCTTGTGTTTCCTTATATCATTTGGTGGAGAAGTGGACATGACATGCTTCATGAGTGGTACTGCTATCTCTAACAGAGGCTACTAATTCTCTGCCCTAGTTGTCTAGCTGAGATTGGGTTCAATTGTTAAGAATTTGCTGCTGCCTCTTACGGCAGATCAGATAGCTAGTTACATGGATGTAGGGTTGAGGGTTTGGTGGATGAACAAAATGTAACCTTAGTATACGCATTCTCGTGGCCTGGCCAGCCAAGGACAAAGTGTGTGTGAGAAAAGAAAAAGGGGTAGGAAAACTGCCCAAGGGAGTAAATGTGTAGCTGGAACAGTAAAAATGCTGGGTCAGCAAAGATGCTATCTCAAGGACATGATTACCTAAAGCACAGTGTAAACCATAGGAAATGCTTAGAAAATAAATGGAGCTGTATCTGGAGATTGGGAGCATTTGCTACCTTGCGATGCTCCCCGCCACTCCAAGCTATGTCTGTTTGTAGTTCATTGCTTTGCCACTACCCCTCGCAGCCCAAAGTCAGCATATGGATATTGAATGAAGGTTAGGCTGGTCTGCTAGGACTGTTATATTGCCAATGTAGGTGGATTGAACAGCCCACCAGTGCACAATGGTGGTGTGTATTTTGGTTTGGCCTATAAATCTTTGAAGTTACCACTCTGAAAGATTCAAGAGCAGGTGCTGGAGCACCTTACTGTCTTGTTGAGATTTTCATTTTCTGGCCTTTGTCCAGAGAGAGGAAACTATTCTTGCGGTTGTTTGTCTATACCTGCTGATGATTCTGTGAAGACTTTCAGCACCCAGTTTGGGATACATGTGAGAAATTAAAAGAAAACCCAGGGAACCGTGGCTGGTTTGGCTCAGCGGTTAGAGCATCGGCCCACAGACCAGAGAGTCCCGGGTTCAGTTCCTGCTAAGGGCACACACCTCAGTTGCAGTTTGTCCATGGCCGGGGCCGTGTAGGTGGCAACCACTCGATGTGTTTCTCTCACATCGATGTTTCTCTCTCTCTCTCACTCTCTCCCTCCCGCTCTATCTGAAGATAAATATAAAAATGTCCTTGGGTGAGGATTAAAAAAAAAGAAAACCCAGGAAATTCATCCTATTTTCATTCCTCAAATCTAGAGGTTTCCAGCCAGTCAATCTTTTTTATTTTTAGTTTTCAGAGTTTTTCCAATTGAATCATTTACAGGGTATTTAGAGAGAATAAGCAGGAAAAACTGAATCTATACCACCTTGTTTCAGAAACTAAATTAGCTGCAGATGTTGAATAATGTTCTTCATTATAAATGTAATCAAGTATAAATACTTTTTGAGTAATACTCCACATAAAAATTTGTTATTTGCTATGAATATCTACCATTATTTACTATGTAAATAATTAAGCTACACATTATAAGAGATATTAACATTTGTGAATAGTGCTTTTGAGTACTTTCAGTCTGACAAGTTTAGTGAGAAGAGGAATGTAAAAAATAAATTAAAATTATACTTTTGCTCTAGGGAGGTATATGGTTAAGTACCAAAAAATAGATTTTAAAATAACAAGAGTTTTATACATATATAAATATACATATATACATAGATTATATATATATACACACACACATATATATATATATCTTAGATAATGTTCAAATAATTTTAATATATAATATTATATATATAGTGTATTATCTTAGATGATGTTATCAAATAGGTTATCACTTGAGAATGAAAAAGAGGTGTTATTATTTATGCCAATTTAACATGTGTAAATTGGGATAATTCCAACAATCTGAGATATATGATCACCTTACCTATAAGACTCTTTTATTTTAACTAATGCAGAAATATTCACACGTGAATGTACTTAGAAAATAGTATAATTAATTCTTATTTACCCATCATCCAGGTTTAGTAATTGTAAATTTCTGGCCAGTTTTCATTCTTCTATATACTTTCATTACCCCTCTGCCCTACCAATATTTAAGAGCAAATTCTAGGCAATTTCTTGAGTCATTCCTTGATTAAAATACTAATCACTTTCACTGCACACCTTTTCCTTTCTCTTCACCAGGCCCTGTCATAACTACTCATATCTATATGTTGCTTTTTGTTTTACTTACAGGGCTGATGCTCTAATGGTTCAACTTTGCCAGAAGACCAATCCTTAATGATTAGCCCTGCACATTTACCAGCTTAGAATCAGGATACTGACCATCCGTGACCCAGCCCTGCCAGCTTTCTTCTCTGGATCAATGTTTCCATAACGATAGCCTCATAATTACTATAATTGAAGCCCTGTTGTATATGAGGATCATGCTCCTACTACACTGGCTTGGGGTGTTTCTGTCCTTTTCTGGACACCCCTGGGCTGAGCATTCCCACTATCACAATCCTCCAGAAGTGGTGATTCCCTTGAAGGTAACACGCACTGGCCGGAGCATGAATTTTCCAGGATGGCTCTGTTATGGTCTACGTTTTGGGGGTGAGAGACACATTCTCTACATGAGGGTCAAGAAGAATTTGTTCTCCAAACACTTCCCAGTGTTCACCTATAGCGACCAAGGTGCTCTCCTTGAGGACCGGCCTTATGTTCAGAATGACTGCTACTATCATGGTTATGTGGAGGAGGACCCAGAATCCCTGGTTGCTCTCAGTACTTGTTTTGGTGGCTTTCGAGGATTAATACAGATAAATGACATTACTTATGAAATTAAGCCCATGATCTTTTCTACCAAATTTGAACATCTGGTATATACAATGGACAAAGAGGAGACTCAATTCTCAACCATGAAATCTGGCTTTATGGAAGAGGAAATGTTACAGCAATTTGAGTTTCAAGAGATTGGTGATTCTACTCTGAAGCAATCTTCTTATGATAACTGGTGGCCCCACTTCTACTTTATTGAAATAGTAGCAGTGATTGACAATACTCTCTATCTTCAAAGTAAAAAAAATGTCTCAATGGTGCAGGAAGATCTATATGTTATTGTAAATATAGCAGATTCCATTTATGAGTCAGTAGGTTATAAAGTTTTATTGTTTGGCATGGAGGTGTGGACTCAGGAAAACTACATTGAAGTAGATGATGTAAAGAGATCTCTGAGACTTTTTTGCCTTTGGAAGGCTCGCAACCTTAACCTCCGCCTGCCACACGATACTGCACATCTTTTCATGAATAAGACATTAAGAGGAATGAGTGGTTTAGGCCTTGTTCAAGGAATGTGTAGACCAGAACATAGTTGTGCAATTATTACTTTTACAGGACAACCATTGAACGATATTGGACTTGCATTGGCTCATCATATAGGTCATAATTTGGGTATGTTTCATGATTATAAGTTCTGTACGTGTGGACAAACTAAATGTATAATGAGTCCTGGTAACCCAACAACAACTAAATTTAGCAATTGTAGTTATGCTTATTTATGGGATGATTCTATAGTTCAAACAACGTGTTTGCTCTACACTATACACACAAGTGACATATTTAACCGGCAACGTTGTGGGAATGGTGTTGTTGACAAAAATGAGGAGTGTGACTGTGGACTTTTGCAGCAATGTGCAAAAGATGCCTGTTGTCTGTCAAACTGCACTTTGAGTTTTGGGTCTAGTTGTGCTTATGGGCTTTGTTGCAAGGACTGTCAGTTCTTGCCAGCAGGGAAACTATGTAGAAAGGAGATCAATGAATGTGATCTTCCAGAATGGTGCAATGGAACATTCCATATGTGCCCAGATGATGTATATGTGGAAGATGGAATTCCCTGTAATGAGAGTGCCTACTGCTATGAAAAGAGATGTAATGACCGCAATTTACAATGTAAGCAGATTTTTGGCCAAAAGGCACAGAATGCAAATTACCAGTGCTACAAACAAATAAACACTCTAGGTGACCGTTCTGGTCACTGCGGTACTCAAAACTTTTCATATGTGAAATGTAATATCTCAGATATTTTGTGTGGGAGGATTCAGTGTGAGAATGTAACTAAAATCCCCCTTCTAATAGATCATTCTACTGTACATTGGACTTACTACAATGATGTTAATTGCTGGGGTACCGATTACCACATTGGGATGACCATACCTGATATAGGTGCAGTGAAAGATGGCACAGAGTGTGGTGAAGAACATGTCTGCATCCATAAAAAGTGTGTCCATATATCTTACTTGGATAGTAATTGTTCACCTACATTCTGTAATCAGAGGGGGATCTGCAACAATAAACATCATTGCCATTGCAACTATTTGTGGGACCCTCCCAACTGCCTAATAAGAGGCCATGGAGGTAGTATTGACAGTGGTCCACCCCCTAGAAGAAAGAAGATAAAGAAGATTTATGTGTTAATGTTTTCACTTATTTGGTTGTTAATTTTATTATGTTGTCTTTTTTATCTTTGCATGAAGAAAAAACCTAAGCAAAAAGAGCAAATTTCTCAGTCTGAATCTGAAATGAAGAATGTGGTTCAGACACCAGAATCAAAAGCACAACCAAATATTCCAATTTCACAACGGAAACCCTCACAGAATATTCCAATTCCGCAACAGAAACCCTCACAGAATATTCCAATTCCACAACGGAAACCCTCACAACCTCTTCTGACTCAACCTGCAAGACGAGGTCCAAAATTTTAGCCATCCTAAAATGTAACATTCCAATTAGTACCAAAAAATGTATCCAAGTAGGTATCCATTAAAAAAGTAATTCCTAGAGTGTTTTTACTTACTCTTCATTAACTTAAAATTTTAGAAGGTTTATTTTACCTAAAATTTGTTTCTTTATACTTTCTGGAAAGGGCATGGCACATGAGTGGTATACCAGTTTTTAAGTTACTACTTCTCCAGTCCAAAGCCCCTTCTTATTTTTTATTCTACATTGTTGGAACCACATTTCTGTTGTATTAACACTCTTCCTATAGGGATTGATCTGCAATAGTGAGAATGAATGGGAGTATGGAAATGTAGGGGATCTGTTTGCTTCCTGTATGTCAATGTTACCTCAATAACAGATTTTACCCTGGCAGTTATACTTAGGTTCAATATCTTTTTTTTTTTTTTTAACTTAGTCCAGACCAACCTCATTGTTAGCCTGAAAGAGATCAGTGTAGCTGTCTGATGTGTTACTTTCAGAGTTCCAAGTCCTCGCTCTTCGAGCTCTCTACCAATATTCCAGACTTCTGCATCAGGTTAGCAGTACCTACTGTCAGAGTTCTGAGTCTCAGATCAATGGGCCAGCCCTACAGTCCTATAGGTTCATATAACCCTAACCTTTTTCTTTGCTCCTCAGCTCCATGAAATAAATCAACCTCTTATATGTAGTATTTCATGGTTACTAACCAGTTAGTTACATATCGTCTCCCTTAAGTTGTTTCGTTCTTTAATAGCTGTTTACCTAATTCCTTATATTTAATTCTATCCTTCTAAAATCACCAATGTGCTTTCTCTTTTCTGACTGAATTGTGACTGGTACAGTACTCTTCTTGGTATAATGAAAAAAGCAGGAATGAGGAAACATCAAAAGCTTTTGTTTTTCTGAGTCTTACCTTACCACTGCCCTTTACCATCTTGGGAAAGTTACTTAGATTTAAAGCAAGTTTCTAACAGAATAAGAAAAGACAGGATGATAATAGCAGTTTTCTCTCAAGTTCTGGTTTTCATTGGTAATAAAATGAGATAAAGAAGATACTTTCAACTCTAGGTAGGTCTGGTAGATAAGTGAGTTTTCTAAAAACAACTATACAAAGTCCAATAAATTTTTTAAATTTATATTTTAAAAGTATCAGAGAGTTGTGGAGGTCATGAAGATTTGAAGACTTAAAAATTACAGAGAAGCCCTGGCCGGTTTGGCTCAGTGGTTAGAGCATCGGCCTGCGGTCCGGAGAGACCTGGGTTCAGTTCCCGCTAAGGGCATGTACCTTGGTTGCAGTTTGTCCCCGGCCCTGGTTGGTTGTGCGGGTGGCGACCACTTGATGTGTCCCTTTCACATCGATGTTTCTCTCTCTCTCTGTTCCTCTCTCTCCCTCCCACTCTATCTGAACAAAGAATGGAAAAATGTCCTCGAGTGAGGATGATTAAAAAAAAAAAAAATTTACAGAGAAGGAAAAACAATATGAATTGTTAGTACTATTTTTCACCTAGAACAGAAATGATTGTTCCCTGGGACATGTTAATTCTGAATATAAATTAAGGATCAAGCCTGGCCCATGTAGAGTGCCTCTGTTAAAGAGAGAGAAACCTGAAGACCTCTTATTGTGTAGAAGAGACTAGATTGATGTTAGGCACATAAGGACATCAAATTTGAAATTAGTTTTCCCTACACATTTGTTGAGTTTAGGTCCTCTGTGGGAAGCTGGTAAGATAGGTGGGAAGTTTTAAAGGCAGAAATATCTACAATCTGTTGTGCTTAGAAAGCAAAGACCTAGTATAAAGAGGCTTGCCTCAAAGATATGTACTGTCTTCCATTTAAAACATTTGCCTAATTTTGAAGGAGCCTGAAATATATGCTATATAAATGAATTTTTTCAAGATTTGAGTATCAGTATGTAATTACCCATTGCTTTCAGAGCTGAAAAAATAGAGATACATGAGCTCTCAAAAAGTCCATTTAGGGATATGTGTTTTACTAAAATTACACTATTTTCTGACTCAATTCCTAATTGTACTGAAGTTGCCATTCAGTCTGTTTTTCAGAAGAGAGATGGAAAGTTCTTAAGTCAAAGGTAATTCTACCCTCTATTCTTATGATTCTTTATATATAACATCTATCAAACAATAAAAATATCACACATTTCAAGAGAAAAAAAAATGTATGGCCCATAATAAGAAAGCAGCAACAACAAAGATAGTAGAAAAGAAGCTAGAAGCCATCTAAAAGATGATCCAGAGAGTGTAAAAGAAGATGGGAAAGAAAAAAATCACCTGATCACTCCTTTAAAAAAACTGAAAGAAAAATGAACATGCTTTGTGAAAGAATGTAGATTCTTTTTACCAGAAAATTAACAATTATGCAACGTTATCAAATACATATTCTAGAGCTTAAAATTAAAATACCTAAATTCAGGAAATCAGTAAGCAGCTTGGATTACAGGCTGCATTGTGCAATTAACTGGATTAGTTAATTAGAAGAAAAGTCAGTAACAAATATCAACTACTGACACACATTAGAAAAATGTTAAAAAGAGGATATTATATGTGGAACATCAATAAACCTAAAATCATTAAAACAGAGTCCCAGTAGAGGAGGAGAAAAATAATTAAAAAGAAGTAATGGCTGAGATTTCCCAAAAGTATATAAAACTATTATCCCACTGCTTCAATAAAGGAATTTCTAGTAGGATAAACACACGGACACACACCTGATAATATAGGGTAAAACTGTTGAAAACCGAGAACACTGAGAAATTTTAAGAGCAATCAGAGATAAAATGTTCATATCTAAAAGAGAATGAAAGAAGATAGATGACTGACCTCAATAAAATAATAGAACGCAGAAAACAATGAAATAACATATTTACTTGATAAATATAATTGCCAAACTAGAATTCTTTAGTTTGTGAAAATTATTTTCAAGAATGAAGAACAAAACTTTCCTGAGACAAAAGAATAAAATAAAATTCATTGCCAGCAGATCAGCACTCAAAGAAACACTAATGTGACTTTCTCAATCAGGAGAAGAAACATTTTATCAGAAAGAAAAGTGTATGTGCAGGTGAGTGTGAAGCACACAAGAAAGAGTAACTATGTGAGTAAATTAAAATTAACTCTTTAAAATAATGCTAATAGTATATTATAAATTTTAACTGTATGCAAAACAAAATGCAAATATTTATTACAAAAGCTGGGAAGCATGTAGAGTTAAAAGGTCTAAGCTCCTAGCAGTATTGGGAAGAGAGGTAAATTAATGACATAGATTATACTGTATAATGTCAAAGATGCATGTTGCAATCTCTAGAGTAGCCATTAAAATAATAAGATTATGTAAATATAAGAAATTGAAGGGGGATAGGTATAATAAATGATATTTTATTATTAACAATAGGTAAGTGAAGAGGAAAACAAACAATGCAGACATGTGAAAATTGAAATAAATTGGACAATGGCAGATATAAGGCCTATGTAAAACAGATTACATTAACCCAGTAAAAGACTGATATATTTCAGAGTAAATAAAGTATAAAATCTAGCATTATATTATTTATTGGAGACACAATTTATTTTTTTGTTTATTTTTATTTTTATTTGGAAACCATTTAAAAATAAAGACATAAAGAGTATAAAAACTTGAAAAAGAAGGTTTTTCATGCACATATTAACCAAATGAAGGGTATAATTCTTTTAATAAAAGAATTAAAAAATAATTATTTTAATAATAAATTTTAGCCCTGGCCTGTTTGGCTCAGCGGTTAGAGCATTGGCCTGCGGTCAAGAGAGATCCGGGTATGGTTCCCGCAAAGGGCATGTGCCTTGGTTGCAGTTTGTTCCCGGCCCCGGTTGGGGTTGTGTGGGTGGCAACCAGTCGATGTGTCTTTCTCTCTTTTCCTCTCTCTCTCCCTCCTGCTCTGTCTGAAGATAAATGCAAAAATGTCCTTGGGTAAGGATAATAATAATAATAATAAAATTTAAGGCATGAAACATTTACTAGAAATAATGAGGAATATTTTTAATTATAAAAGGCAAGTATCAGGAAGATAGGACAATCTTAAATGTGTATTCATTCACTAATGTAACCTCAAATATATAAGGGAAAATATGAAAATAGGCAAATCCAGAATCACTAAGAGGGAGAATTTTAACCCACTTCTCTTAACAGCAATAGGAATGGTAGACAATAAATCCTGCAGGATGAGATTTTCAGTATATAATTAGAAACTTGATCTAATAGATATATTAAGAGAGAAAAAACAAAAGTGATGAAATTCACTTTGGTTCATCTGCTTCAGGACTATTATCAAAGTCCACCTTATAGTGGGCCAGAGAAAAGCCCCAGAAAAATTTAGATGATTTTAAACAAGTAGAATATATTCTCTAAATCACATATAATTAAGCTAGAAGTCAATAGCATTAAAGATAACTAGAAAACTCACAAATGCCTGATATGATTCTGACTTTGATACCAATTCTGATCATCAACTAAGATTCTGCACCCAATTCCAGTGTATGTGGATGGGGGGAGCAGGAGCAGGGGTTCCCATACGACCAAACAATTATTTTACACAAAATAGGTGTCCAACTCAATTCTAACACTATCTGGTTCAGCCCTATAAGACTGCTCCCCCCACTCCAGGGACCAATCTAGCTTATCACCTGTGCTTCTGACCAAGCCAGGTCCTCCTTGGGTTTGATTAATTTGCTAGAGCAACTCCCAAAACATAGAGAAATATTTTACTTACTAGATTACCAGTTTATAATACAAAGCTATAACTCTGGAATAGCCAAACGGAAGAGATGCATAGGGCAACGTTTGGGAGAAGAGCATGGAGCTTTCATGCCTTCTTCAGGCATGTCGCTCTTCCTGCATCTTCACATGTCCACCCACCCAAAAACGCTCCAAATCTATCCTTTTGGAGAATTATGAAGATTCCATTATTTAGGCATGACATGAAATCATTGGCCATTGGTGACTGGACTCAATCTTC